GTGCGTCTTATACACTGAATGTAGCCCCACCCACCCACTGGCCCCCACCCTTTGCCCTCTGCCTCCCAGCAATTTGCCTCCTTGCAGCAAACAGCCTGATCAGCACAAGAAATAAAAAATCTGCCTCTGCCTCCCCGCAATTTGCTTCGTGCAGCAAACAGCAAGTTTCACTTTCAATTTTAGCATGAGCCTTCCGCTCATCAATTATTTCAGGCTGCAGGGATTGCCATAGCCTATTGCCGCCCCATTTTCCCGTTTGCTGCAAGGAGGTAAATTGCTGGGAGGCAGAGGCCAAAGGGTGGGGGCCAGTGGGTGGGTGGGGCTACATTCAGTGTATAAGACTCATCCAAAATTTCACCCTCTTTTGGGGGGGGGGAGGTGCGTCTTATACGAAATATACAGTAGTTGGGTGATGAAACGGCAGGCACTTCTCATCATCCTCTTCATTTAACGACCCCATAATCCCTGGCAGGGTGGAGTCTGGGCAACTGAATGGAGCTAGTAGAGTGTTTTCGTGGCTGGATACCCTACCTGTCGCCAATGAGGAGTTTTGTTCAGCAGGTACATTCTCGGTGTGCCCGGAGAGAGAAATATCTGCCTGTACTGAGGATCAAACTCACAGCCTCCAGACTGTGAGGTGAGAGCACCACCTCCAGGTCACCGCACCACTCTGAACAACCGGTACTTCTCATGCCCGCCATAATGTTTATGGGCGATGGTTAAGTAGATATGCCCCCCCCCCATGGGATTGTCCAATGTATTTCCCCAGGAAATGTAGATAAGGCTCTGAATCTATTGGCGATGTCTATTTCACTCTCCAAATTTGAGGCTGTCATTGTTCTGATGATAAGAAATGAGTCTTAGAGAAGCTCCTCTTTTTTGGAGAAAGACTAAGACAGTCGCCCAAAATGTCGTTGGCTTCAATGAACCAAGATGCTTGTGAAGACATCCAGAATAATGCCTTGGTGCTCTTGACTGCTTGCCTTTCATTCCCTTGCCCATACACCCTGATGAGGTTACCTAACTTGGTAATGAAACGTCTGCAAGAGAATCGCCAAACTGAAAGAGGGACCAAGGATCCAGGATTATGGGTCTTACCTGGGTTTCGGCTGCCAGCCGAGGCATGGAAGCCGCTCGCCCTTGACTCTCCAGTCCTGGCTGATGTTCTCCGTTGGCTAAAGTTGGGCTGATCTCTTGCATTTCTACAACCTGTAAAATACAGTGACAGAGTAACAGGAGTGAGTAAGGAGCTGTGGCCTACAGACGTCCCCAGTAGTTTCAATGGCTGTCTACGTCCAGAATAATCCTCCCCCTCCTCCTCCTCTTCCCCCTCTTCCTTCTCCTCCTCCTCTCCTCAAACCCCACTCCCCTCGAGCACCGATGATGTTACCTAGTTTGGTACTGAATTGTCTGCAAGAAAGCAACCAAGCTTGGAGAGGACCAAGGACCCTAGAATAATCCTCCTCCTCTCCTCAAGCCTCACTCCCTTCTAGCACTGATGATGTTGCCTAGTTGGGTCATGAAACGTCTGGAAGAAAACCACCAAGCTCAAAGAGTCCCAAGGACCCCATAATCATCATTGCTTTCCTCCTCCTCCTCCTCCTCCTCCTCCTCC